TAAACCACGACACATCTACTATATATTTTTTCCAAAAGTAAAAATCGACATGACTTCTGACAAAGTTCACTTTACTTATATGATCTCTGACATCAAAGATACACTTTCCCTGGCTAATGATTTGCCTTTTCATTTCTTACTGTCACTTACTCCCAACAGCCTTTTTGGTCATTATTCATCAGTAAGTGCAGTGTTCCTTTTCTGTGGTTTGCTGTGTAAATTCCAGAGATTTTAGAAGTTTTTGCTTTAAAGAACAGCAAGTGTTTTCCTCGTTTAAGTGCATGGACTTTTTCAGTTCAATTAACTTGTATTTACATAAATACTTAATACTTGCCTTTTTGAAATTAAAAGCTTTGAAGATGCAATTTTATCTGTTCTTCTTTTAATTTTAATGGAAACAACTTGCAATAATCAATGCAAGATTCATTTCAAGGACAAGCACACTTGTTCAGTGAAATCCAAACTATAATTGCATAGCACATAATTTCCTGTTGGATTCATGATTAACTAAAAAAGAAATCTGGCATTTGTTACATACAGGATTAAGTGGATTCTACACATTCTTGCAAGGATTTTGCTGTCCAGTCCAAATATAGAAAGTTAAAATTTTCTATAATAACAATACTCTCTTGGTGTTTATTTTCCTAGTAATATCACAAGGTCTCCATCTGTATTCAAATCTGTTTCTGTGTTTTAATGAACACAAAACTTTACAGCCTTTCTATCTCTCCCTCACAAATAACCCTGAACTGGTCATTTTATTGCACATTTTTGCAAATAAACATGTACAGCAGCCCTAAACTGAAAAGAAGGTACTTTTAAAAATATGTTCTTAAAGAAAAGGTGAGTCCGATTTGATCTGTAATTCATCATTAGCTGTACATTTGCTGTACTCTTTTTTGGAGGAAAATGTTATAATATGTTCTATTAAATTCTTGGGTTTAGAAATAAAATAATTCCTGAATACATGCTTTGTGCTGCAATATGGACAAAGATAAATGCCAGAATTCATTGAGATGAAAGGCAGATAGATGAGGTGGAACACACACTGTATAGCTGCTTCCTTTGCTGAGGCATGGGACGAAATGCCTCAGGAAGAAATAGTTTTATTTTGCTAAACTCACTGACAACATGAACATTCTTTAACTCTGATTACTCAGCAGATAAACACCAGCAAGCAGATCCAGGAGAGTCTTTCTTTGAGGTACAGTAAAAATAATATATATTCTTTTCATTTTGTAGTAGCAATGCATAACCATAGCTGGTTGTATACCAAGAGTCATACCAGGAATTCACGGTTCAGTTATGAATTCACACCTGACTGAAAGATGGCCACATCTGGTGGGAAACTTGTTTCAGTTAACAAAAAAACTTTGAAACTATAGCTATAAGCTTTTAATTTTCTAGTAATTGCTCTTGTGAGGTGTGGGAAGCTGGGAGGGTTTCAGTGTCTGTCGAAACCTAATAGGTGGTAATTAATTTCAATCATTTGCCTGCCCTGCTGAAATTAATATATACATTATAGACAGTAAAGTAGTCAAGGATTTAGTGCACCACACTGATTAGGGTAATTTTTACTTTTTTTAAATTCATCAGTGCCCAGAGGCTTTTTTCTCTACTTGAGATAGATGAGGCAGCAGGATGAGAGTCCACATAACATATTCTTAGTTTGTTACCAAGGTAATCAATACTAAGTTACACTATTCATCAAAGAGAGAAAGGCAATGGAACAAAACTACGTACGCTTTGTTCTTCAAGAGAAAAACAAAAGTGTAAAGCATATTTGCAATGAGGTTGATGCTTTTGTGTAGTAATAGCTTGAAGACAGAATGGAATCAGAGCAAATGCATGAGTGAATAATACAAATTTCGGACTGTATTTTCCTTTATGCCAACATACAAAGGATGTGTTTGCTGTGGGAACCAAAACTACTGTCAGCAGTTGATAAACTTCTGCCTATTCTGCCTTTCAAAAGCAGTAGAGGAAACATGCAAATAAAGCAAAGTGCACTCAGTATCTGATTTTGTGGGCAATTAAGATATTATTTCACTTTAACAAGTTTAATTTGTGTGCTTAAAAAGTATAAATTAATCAGGAAATTTCAGAATGATGTCACACTTCAGCTAACTGATCCATGTGCTTCTTGCAAGAAACCAAAATTCATATCCAAGTCAGTGATAGTCAAGATCAGACATGAATGTATGATTTTTGGGAAAATGTAAGAGAATGTTTGTGTCCAGGCAAGAAATAAACACTTTTTTTGTACCTGAAAACAGAACAAGTGATACTGTTCTGATGTCTCATATTTTGGAGGATCTGTTTGATTGGATACACAGAAACGAGGATGAGATATTAAACTAAACTCCAACTGCTAAAAAGACGATTACTAGAGTGTCTGTCCACCCTTGTATTACAAGTATATGTATCAAAGAAAAGAGTAGCAAGGTTTTCTATTAAGTTCTTGTTACTTTCAGTCATCACTCAGCATTAGAAATAAAACCAGAAATCAATTTTTTAGGTAAGTCAATTTATTGATTCTCTGAAGACACAAAAGCTGTTATTTCAAGTGCAGGCAACTAACCGTGTTTTATTGCCCCAATAACAAGAGATTAAAACATCAGAGTCAATAGCTTTTATGTAGAAAGACTCAAACTCTTGTCTCAGTTATTTGTGTTGAAATTTTCTCAACACCAAGATCAACTGCATATGGATATGCGAAGAAATTTTACATGTAAGACATAGTACAGTAGAAAAAAATGTTGCTTATGAGCTTTCTGTAGAAACTTTTTTATGTGTTGAGAAGATGTACAGATTCAGGAGTTTAAAGAAGATCTAAGAGACTGTTAAAATCAGTACCGTTGCAAGTCCTGCACTCATAATATCAAAAGCTGATTTTCTGATACGATTAAGCCAATGCCAAAACATTCGTAAACAGGATTCAATCAATACAATTTTCTGCTGACATTAACTTGGTTTTAAAAATGAAACTGCTTTATACTAAGCAAAATACACTTCTAATAAACTGAAATATTAATTCTCAGTGGGAATACAGCAATTCTTCGAACATTTCTAAATGAATACAAAGGATCAAACTCTGCCCTCAGTTTCATTCCTGAATTCTCACTGAATTGTGCTGGTAGTAACAACAGAATTTGTCCAGTGTTGCCCACTCCTTCCCTGTTGGAGCACCATTTTTCTAGTAAAGGTGAAAAGTGAAATCGTGAAGAACTGGGAAATGCCCATTCTAGCCATTTGTAACCCTGCTTTTTTCAGACTTTGAGATATCCCTCATAAATGTTGCTGTGAACATGTTTGTAGCAACATCTCCAGAAGAACGCCCTCTGCTACCTACCGATGAGTTAGAGGAATACAGAGAATCCAGGAGCTTCATTTGCAGGAGGCTTTACGCACCACCTTTGACCACCCAATCTCCTGTATGTACAATACTGAATAGTGACCCTGATGGTGAATATTACATAGTAGATCTTTACCTACATAGTCTTCATATGGGTTCAACCTAGATGGTACTTGTGTTATGCTGTTTAGGAAGCATGATGAAATGGTAAAGTTTATACGATGAAGGACACGGGAAGATGATTTAGAAGTTTCTGTCTGCCAGTCATTCCTTGCTCAGATCATATGTGCGAGCTGATGTGTCTCCCCAGAAAGTAACAGAGCTAAACAGACTCCACTTAAGAGTCTCTAACTACACAGAGTCACAATAAACAAACACTTAGGTGACTTAACCTGGATTTTTCAGTAGTGGGGAGGACAAACGACACATGTGAGTTATCCACAAAGACTCTAATAGGTGAAATCATTAATATGCAGACTAAGATGTCAAAAATAAAAAACCAGGCAGAGCATCAAAACTAAAAATCCATCATCCTGGGAGGTAACAGTCAGAGCAGCAGAGGAAAGGCACTTCCCCCTCTGCAATACTAAAGCTGCTATACTAAATACAAAGCAACATGATACCAGCAGCACTCTACAGCTGGATGGGTGAAGTAACAGCAGCAGTGAAAGAAGAAAAGATCAATGGGCAACGGCAGGACATGGCAAAGACCGCGAATGCTGAAATGACAGCAAGGTATCTTTTCTTCATCACACACAGAAGCTAAGTATGCCCGATTGTATCCCCAGAATACTAATCAAATCTTGGATAACAAACTATGAACAAAAGAGGGAAGGAAAAATCTGGTATGTTAAAGGGGAACTTATTCTTTGGACGTTTGCACTTGAGGTGGGATATCTGAGGAAGATCACTACTAGCGATGCTGTAGGAGCAGGCATTTTACCTCCTGTTCATTTACTGTTGACCCACTGTTATTTTTGCTTTCCTGAACTACTGGTTCCTTTTTCTGCCTTTACTACATTTCCTTTGAAATTCATTTTAAATATTGAAACTGAGCCCATTTTTCTTCCAAGACCACATGGCAGAGAAGTGACACCATCACAAACGCTGAGGAATTTGTGGTCAAGAATCACGTATATCTCACATTTCCTTATTAAGGTTAGTATTTGCATACAGTATTTTTTCTGCTTTCAAAATCAGATTCAGTTTTACCACTCAGAATTTCAAGCTGAGAAACACAGATCTGGATCCAGAGGAAAAGCAGTAGACAGCAAAAACTAACTACACTTTGGGATGCAGGGATTTTCTCACTCAGGGTCAGCAGAGTGAGACTTGAGACTTCACTTGAACGAGGCTCTCACTATCCTGCCCTTCACAGGCTGAGGTGGGCGCCAGTTATCAACCAGTGGGGTCACAGGTTCGTTCTCGTCATTCTTGGAAAGGCTACGGAGCTTCGCCATCTGCAAGGAAGAAAAATTAAAGCGTCCATGTGAATTCACCTGGAAGCAGTGTGGACCTTGATGCCTAGAACAAACTCTGAGACAGAAAAGGAATTTTCTTATATAATGACAAGCATACTGGTAGAGATTATTGGTACAGATCACTGCAGCCCAACAGCTAGCACTGTTTCTGTGGATCTTTACACTCTTCATCCACAGAACAGCGCATCATTTGACCCTTGCCTGGGCTTCTTTTGGATTTTTCCCTGACCCACACTCACAATGTGGAAAAAGAGTGACCCTGTGACCCTGCTGGAGATGGACTGCAGTCAAATCACTTGTGAAAATATGGCTATAAGTGAAGGAGGATGCACATCTAAGTCTATGCAAGGTAGTCTGATGGAAAAAGCTGGTCTGCAGAAGTTCATATTTTGTTCTGTAAGGCAGAGAAATGTATGCCAACTGGATTATTAAGTTCAATCATGAATTCAGCACTTAGCTGTTGTTCTCCAAATTAATTTAAATTCAGTGTTGCTTTGTTAATTGTTACCCTTTCATCAGAATGCAAAATAAATCTGTTCTGAAAACAGCCAAATCAGTAAAAAGGCTATACCCTGACTTGTACTGCTGAAGCAGAAAACAGTGTAAATAACCAAAAGTTTTAACACAAGAACTAAAAACGTCACCTTATCCAGACTAGCTCTCTATTCTTTCTCCTGTGTAAATGCGCATTTGAGCTATATGAATACAATTAGTACATTAATTTGTATTAATATTCAGGTTTGCAGGTTCTAGCTAGTTTGATCCTTCTCACTGACAGCTTTTAGGAAGTTGAGATCTGGACCAGAAATTTCTTAAACTGAGAAACCAGCTAAATGTTAGTCTCACTTGCCACTTAATGCTGAAGCACAGAGAATGAATTGAGGCTGCTGTGATGGCTGAATTTTGTGGCTCGGGGGCACTTCTGCCTACTCAGGTTTTCCGGATCCCAAGAACGCTCCTGCTAAAGCTATTCCAGGAGGTGTCTAGGAAGAGAGCCTGATTCTCAAGTTTCTCAGTTTTACAGTCCATTTCAACAGTCTGTTCTGCAGGCAATTTCTCACAGTCCTCAACTAAAGCTTTCCTTATCAAAAAAAAGGCAAGGTAACATCGGGCTTGCAAATCGTCACACTGACATACTGAGACACTGTTGAGAACTGTTAAAGGAGTAGCAAACTAGCTGGAGTTTACCTGGTCTGAGCTGACTTCAATCGGCTCCCTCAAGAGAATCCAAGTGATGCACTCCTCACAGGGGGGTGTAGTGAACGAACCATGGTAGGTCCAGTAGTCCCGAGATTTGGGGAAAAGGATTGAAGGATCAAAGTGCTGAAAAGGAGCCTCTTTCCCCTTAGAGAAACAAAAAATAATTCTCTGCAGTAACTCTAGGGATATGCATCTTAAAACACATCAGTATATATGTTATTATAAAGGAAGTAATTGAAGATTCATGCACGAGATTAATCTCCTTTTCTTCCTGTCAAGCATTTGCCCTGCAATTAATAACTGACAATTTGATTCCATTAATAAATTAAAATAAATTACAAACTGAATTGTGCAGGACCAAAGCAAATTCATTGTTACATTTTTCTATTCTGGAATTACCAAAATTTTGTTTTATTTTGGGTCACTTGGGATAAAAGTTAAAGGCTGTGGCACTGCAGGTACTGGTACCCTTTTTATCCAATAGAACAGTGGCCAGGCATTTATCCCAGATTCATTACAGTCTTCTCCTCTATCTGAAGGAATTTACATCTGCCTGTCTCTCTCCTCACAAAATTGTGCTCTAATTACATTGTCATGGTGACACTCTCAATCTTTTTGTTGGCACTACTGCACTTAATGTAAAAAATTAAAATATTTCCTGGAAGAGTACTGGATCCTGAATGTCTTACAACTAAAACTGATTATAGAATCATAGAATCATTAAGGTTGGAAAAGACCTCTAAGATCATCGAGTCCAACTGTCAACTCAACACCACCATGCCCACTAAACCATGTCCCTAAGCACCACATCTACACGTCACACTTCCAGGGGTGGTGACTCAACTCCCTGGGCAGCCTGTTCCAATGTTTAACAACTCTCTCAGTGAAGAAATTTTTCCTAATGTCCAATCTAAACCTTCCTTGGTGCAACTTGAGGCCATTTCCTCTTGTCCAGACAAGCAGACACCACACAACATTTCCTGAAAAGTTTTTCTTTTCCACCGAATGGGATACTCAAGAGAATATCTCCACAGGAGTGTGATGAGATTTCCTCGTCCCCTCAGGGCGACAAGAACCAAACAAGAAAGTTCAGTTCTCTACTGGTATTTAGGATGCAGTTCTGGAAAGCAAAATCTATTATTCCTAATTCCTTCTCCTGTCATGGAAAATCTTCTCTAGATGGGAACAGAGTATTACCCTACAAAGTGCAATGGGAGGAGCTGAAATCTTTTCCACACATCCTTGCACAAAATATGGGTGAAAGAATAACATCAAGACTCCAAATATATCTTCCTGACAAAATTATTCGGTAAATTCAATATGAGTTTCCAAATAACTTCACAAACAAAATTGTGCTTTTTCAGTAAATACGGAAAAGGCCTTGACTCTGTGTAAGCACTGCTCAGCAATAACGAAAACATCCCTGTATTATCAACACTGTTTTCAGCACAAATCCAAAATATAGCCCTATACTAGTTACTATAAAGAAAATTAACTCTATCCCAGCCAAAACCAGCACAACAGTACAGTGTCCAAGAAACTTCTCTGCCTGTAATGTATCATAGCCATTGAAACTGTACATGTGATAAATACACCAGTGATACGATCCATTAATCTCTCCTGAAAAATAAGTAATCTTGGTAAAACATATGTGATGACAGGGGAAAAAAAAAGTATAAAAGATAAAATACAAGATGTGATTGTTTGCATATGCACCTATCTTTCTCTGCTTTTCTTCAACTATTGCTTTTTCCAGAACGACTACAGAGAATATCTGTATGTAGGAAATCAGACTTCTATTTTTTTGCTGTTACAAGTCATAAAATCTCCAGTTAGGCAGTCTCAGATAGAATGTAATGGAGTGGATATCACTGCCATCTTGTCATCATTATATGACAGAGTGTTTCATAGGGTGATCGATTAACTTTTTACTAAGTTTGGCAAAGCTCTTCTGCATGTAAATGGCCAAAAAATGATATAGGGATTATGAGAGAAAGCTGAATCTGTATCAAGACAGAGATCATTGACACAGCAGGGGGAGCAACGGGTAGGGCAAAAAAAAATGACCTTCAGTTCCCTTAGCAGAAAGAACTGAATTGTATCTGAAGACTAAGAAAAGGTTGAAAAAATAAAATTAATATGACTCTGGGTGAGAAGAGAACAGATTTCAGGCTCAGACCCACACATCAATGGCACTACGTACATACATAAATTAAATGCAAGAAATTCCGCTAAATTTGGAAGAAAGTGCTTACAAAATTTGTAAAATTCAGTCCTGGTGATCTGGTAGTATGTTCAATGTCAAATAAAAAAGGGACTTTTCTTTTAGCATCATTAGAATCATAAAGCTTATCATGAAGTAGAATTGCTAAAGTATACCTAGAGGTTAGGTTTATGTTAAATGATGTTAAATAACAATAGATGCAGTATCACAATTCTCTGCAAAGAACTCCCTTCTGCAGTTGTATCTGTGCAATAGGTATGGACTTTCGTCCTTAGGTCATTAATTAAACTGAAAAACAGTTTAGAAGAGGATTGCAATGCTATTTGTGCTAGTATCATAGGAAGACAGAACCTAGGACTGGTGCAGAAACTGTACCGTGTAATCCCTTTTATAAATGAATTCAGTTGCATCTTAAAACTAATAAAGTTTTTAATCTCTCTTATACTGACTGGGAGCTTGCTCCATCATTCCTACTAGTTTCTTCTCATTTCAGGCTAACTAAATTTCTGACTGAATTATATGCATTTGTTTTGGCCACTGCTGTCCTCAAATTCAAAAAGCTTTTCACTTCTTCTTGATATTTGCATACTAGCATATTTTTACAGAGCAGTATCAATAAGACTATCAATTGTGCATGCAAGGATTGACACAAAATCCTCTACAACACGAATACTTACAGAAGTGAGGCGTTACATGTTTACTTAAGTAAAAGAAAGTGTCCTGCTCCACAGTCCAATATAGCACCTCTGTTGCTATTGTTAGGTATCAGAATGATGCCAAAAAGAGTGAATCTGAACTTCTGATTTCTGCTTCTGTTGCTTTTCAACTACATTATGTCACAAAAATTGTTTTCATACCTTGGTCTTAATGTTATCAATTTCTTCAAGAATTCTCTTAATCTCTGGTTTGGGATTGTTTCCAATCTGTAAGGCAAAGCACAAGTACTGTATTTTTTCATCATGTTCCACAGTATTTGAAAGAAATTCAGTACATCCCATCTATCAAGTTAGGCAGCAGTACTCTCAGAGCATCCAGTACAGACTGACACAAAATTATGAGTGTTAAAAGAACATCCGGAATAGCAGACTCGAGTATTGGCTTTGGAATTAAAAAATGTGTTGAAAGACTCTACAAGGTATCTCCCACTGTCTGAGGAACAAACTGCTCACTCAGACAGTGTCATCTACTAGCCTAGCCCTCGGCTCCTGGTTTGAAAGCAACCCACAACCACTGTGAGACGTATGAGCACTCAGCAAAGTGTTGAGAGTCTGAACAGCTGGAGGTCCTGCAGACACTTCAAACATTCTGCAGCACATACACAGTCAGATCAGACTTGATGTAAGACATATGACAAGATTCATGTCATGACCTCCTCAAGCTATAGCGTCACTTTTTGCTTGTGTTCATGATGTTTAGCACCTCCAAAAGCTTTGACATAGCTCTGCATCCCAGAAGAGTAAAGACAGTATGCATAAAACATGCTGTTATTGCCATGTCTTGTTCCAAAATAGATTAAATTCAATTCTTCAGGAGATAATTCAATCTCCGTTTTGGCAATACCGAAAAACCCAGTCACGGAATGTGACAAAACCAGAGCAAAACAGCTCCTACACTGACGAGCAAGAAGGAAACAGGGAAAGAAGGCCAGAGAAGATATAGTGATACTACTTACTTTTCTAGACCTTTTAGTTGACCTTAGAATGGTTAATAGGAACATAATGTTATACTATATAGGTTGTGTTTCACAAGATAAAGCTTTAGCCTAAAATAGACCAAAAGAAATTACAAAGGAAGAATAGTTGAAGGACATAATCATAGGGGAGAATCTGGACAGGTGCTGACCTGTCACTTTCAGTTTAAACTAACCAGAAGAAAAAAGGTCAGGCTGGCTCACACTATAACAGAATTAAAGTGACATTGGATCTATTTATCACTATTAGATTTTTATTTATCACTATTAGATTGTCTGCCTGTTAGTGTTTCCCAGTGTCCTAGACCACATGCAGATTTCACAGTAGGATTGCTTTCTTTCTGTTAAGTTTATAAAAAAATCAATTGGAAAATATCAGTACAGTATTATTTTATTATGAAGCTGCCGTATTTCAACGTTAAAATGTTCAGTGAACTTCTTTTACCATCAATTCTTTCAAGTACTTGGTCTTTTTGGAGCAGGTTCGTTGATCTTTTAATTCCCAGCTCATGTGGGGATTAGCAAGAGACCAAGGATGGGAATAAGTCAACATAACATTGCTGACAGGCAGATACAATACCTGCTAGCAGACAAAGGGCAGGAGGAAACACTCCTCCTATGTCGACTGTCCTCCTCACTCAGTACACAGCACAGCACAGAGCTGGTCAGCTATCAGGGACAAAGTTAGCAAGTGTCCCAAGCTTGAAGTGTGTGTTTCTTGTTCAATACCACCCGTGATATGTGCCTCTGGTGTCACGAATGGTGTCAGAAGTCAGCTCTGAACGGGTTAGTGCATGGAATCTGGAGGGCCCAAGGACATATGTGACTTCAGTCTCTGCATTGCTTTGAATGTTTTCCTGTAAAATGATACAGTGCAGGGAAAAACGATGGGAAATTTTTCCCCTGGTGCTAGAGAAAGATGAAAAATACAGAAAATTATAAAGACTGAATATTTGCCACTTACTTTCAGAAAAATGCCCACAACAGCCACACCATCAGGTTGTTTCAAAGCTCCAGCAAAATTACCATGTTTTGGATTCCAGTGCACCATATGTAACTAAAAATCAATGAAACCTCAGTTACAAATGCAAGAAATTGCCAAGAGCGCAATCTTACAACCTTTTACATTAAATTAAGAAAAGTTTCCAGTACACAGCAAGCAGAGGAATGGACATGAAGAAAACTATACGTAAGTATTTTCTATTCCTGTTCCCATGCTTCCATGTGCTCACACTTTCTATAAGCATCACTTTGCATTTAATTAAGCATAAAAGAAGGAAAATGGAGTTTACCACACAATACCTTTAAAAATTAATCAGACAATTCAACTATAAATAGTTTAACCCAAACACGTGACATGCACACATGCAGTGCATAAAACACCTACTGACATGCACTTCATCTCAAGTAGAGTTTTAGATCTTCATGTTATGCAGATAACAGCTCAAGGATTTACACTGGGTTGTATGCAGTACATATGTTACGGTTTTGTATCTCTTACTACTCTCGGCACATTGTACTGGAAAGGAGTGGAGATAGTAACCTGACATTTCTTTCTCACTTCTACTTTCAACGATGCTGTATTTTCAGGATATATTTCAAGTTTTTACATCTCCTTCCAGAAAATCTCTGGCTCCTGCACATAGCTACAAATGCTGCAACCAGCAGTGTGGAATCTCAAAGTAAGTAGCGTCTGGAACATAGCGCCATACAAAAAAACCAGGAGCCTGGTGCATATTTTGAATGCTAATTTTTGACTTTTTTTTTGTAAACACAGTAACAATTATTTAAAATAACAACAAAATAATTTGCCCTGAATATAAATTAATGTATTGCTCTCTGTTTCTCTTCTCTTGCGGATAAGGATATCATTGCTGAGGATGAGCAAGGCGGAGCAGCCATGTATCTTTGGTTGCATTCTAGCAAAATTTCATACATTCCAGGCTTTCTTCTCCTGTCAATAAATATTTGAGTACTGCAAACAAATGCAAAGTAAAAAGTCTGTGCTTGAGCTAACCAAGAAATAGCTTGAGGAAGCAGAATTTTTCTGTTTAGTTGGCCACAGAAAGTAGAACACTAACACAGTTTGGCTGTGGCGAAGGAATGGGAGAAAAAACCCCAAACCATCACCCACAATCATCTCTGCAATATTTGTGCACACTGACCCTGCAAAATATCTGCCTGAATTTTCTCCTGTGATAGGTGGGCAAAGCTCCTGTAAGCTCTGCACCTTGAGGGTATAGGTGGAAGGCAGGAAAACACTACTGCAGACTGTGGGCAATTCACTAGCATAAACAGTGAATTCACTTGTATTTATTACTTGAAGAAGTCTTCAGGGCCTAAAGCAGCCATTAATTTTAGCAAATTTGGACAACAATAGTGCAGTAGGTTACATTAAAAAAAAAAAAAAACAAACATCTGTTTTCCACAGTTCCCAAAAATAAGTACAGATGTTCAGAAACTAGAAGATACTCTTTACCACTCTGAATCAGTTTTAAGGTGGATCTAAGTTTGAATGTCAGTTTATCAAATGTGCTTTTAGCAAGTTTTTCTATTAATTAGTAATGCTTTCTGAAACTAACTTGGTAATTCAAGCTATACCAGAAATGGCTAAAAGCCAAAAAACATCAGCAGAAAACAGATCTTCCTATTTGGAAATAACAGATCGCTTTGTCTCAAACATTTTTAAAACATTCTAAAATACCAGCAAAAACACCTTCTTGAAGAAGCAAATTCCATGTTAGTATATACTTGCAAAGATACATTTGTTGGCAGATGCAACTTATCCCACTGCACGCTGATGAATATTCACAAGTTTCATAGACAGACTTTAGAGAAAAATACATAGCTAAATATTTGCAAAAGGGAAAATGGTTAATCTGTTCAGATGCACAATCAGTCAAATTCCAGTTAGTACTGAATACTGCTATTAAAAATAAGTCCTACCTCTGCTGCATATTTCACCCCATCTATAACATGCTCAGAGCCATGGTCATCAGAGGAACCCCAATGCAAATGAAGCTGACGCAGCCTGTAGGCTCCTGTGAGCGGCCCACCTCTCAGCACTGCAATTGATAATCTACATCAACAGTAGCCTTCAAAACGCTGACATACACGTTCATGGAACGGGGAGCCATACTTTTAAAGTGTGGAGCACCTCTTGTAAATCCAGCTGATTGCTGTGGGGGTCAAAACACTCACCAGTTTACAAGCTTGGGGCTGAATTCTGTTATCACTCAGGAAGAGTCCTGTTTGATATGAAAACTGCGGAAGCTGCTGTGAGTCAAGCACAGAATCAAACCCAAGCCCAACAAGCCCCTTTTCCTTTGGCAAGTGGACACACTATAGTTCCTAATGTGGAGAAAGAAGGAAGGTATTCACAGCTGATTCTTGTGAAGAAATGGCCTGTTGTGAAACGGTTGGGGATAGGACTGTGAAATTAACCCAAAGGTGCTTTGAAGCGTACCTCTAGTCCATGACTGGCAAACCTTTTACAGTTCAGACAACTAAACAACGGTTACAGCATAGTTTGCTGCTTCCTTCTAAAAAAAAAAAAAAAGGATCTATTTCTTGAAAGTGAGGGAAGAGAAGAAAGTTTAGATCAAATGAGTTAGAAAAGTGTGCTTGAGCAAGCAAAAGCTATAGTCAACATTTAACATTCCCACCAATGAAACAAATTAAGAAGCTATTATTTCTGCTGTTCTTAGCCAAATAATGCTGACCACACATCAGTCTGACGCTTTACATCACCTCTGACTTTCGAGACATCACACCTGCTCTTTCAGTTTGGGGATTCTTTTCAGCAGGGACTGCTTAGAGGATAAGCTCTCAAATATTTTTTTCATTCATTACCTAAGGCAGGAATGAGACATGTTTCCTTACACAGAAAGCTGAAACGCAGTTCACAACTGCAGTGCCAGAAGACCTTGTTTAAATAGCATTCAAGTTTGAACTTCTACCAATAGCTTTGAAGTTCAAAGTTAACATTGAAATAATATTTAAACCCTCTTGTGCCCAATGGTCTCAAATTAATTCTTGATATCATATGTGTTGGAATACCTAACCAGAGCAAGAGGTTTAACTTTGCAGTTTCTCTTTTTAGTTGGTAGGTGTCACAGCCATTGGGGTGGCAGAAACAAAGCACTGTGTTGAGTTTTAGGCATGCAGTTCCTCTTATTTTTTGAGTTTGTTCATACATAAATAAATAATCATAACTAACTCACTACGGTATTGAGTAAGCCCTCTGTAGAGGCCTTTAATGGAAAATATGTTGCATAATAATAATAGTAGTAATAATAATTATTATTATTATCATTATTATTGTTTCACTTTTGAATGTAGGAAAAATAAGGCATAGACTTTAAGGCCCAAATCCTCACAAGTATTTGCTTGCCATTTCACACTGGAATCAATGGGAGGCAGGAACTTTCAGGAGTTGAGTTTATGTGATCTACCGACATTTACAAGCTAAATCTGTATCAGAGTTGGAAACTCATTTAGCAGTCGTTTTTTACAAATGGCCCTTTCCAGAGCTCAAATACTGTGAAGCACTTGGAAACAGCACTTCATAATGGTATGCAGATCTCTCTAGCATAAAAATAAACCTTTTTAACATTCTAAATTTTCCATGTGATTAGATCAGAAAAAGGCTATCTTCAAGCTAATTTCTTTTTCCAGTTAAAATCAGATCTGTGACTACTACTTATCCTCAGCAGCTGCCACCACAGGAGCCAACAAATGAAGGTAATGTTTATGAAATGTTTTCTCATGTGGTTTTTCAGAGCTGTCAAACATTGTATTTGATTCCAATCAGACACATCGCTATGAATGGCTTGAGCTCTAAACTACTGTCCAGCAGCCTGCAGAAAGTTTAGTAACAGGAGCAGGGAGTGAATGTACACCCTGGGTGTCCAGCGGAACAACAGAGATGACAGGGAGGGGAGAGGCGGGGACGGAATGGAGGGAAGATGATTCAGAGGAAGGGCTGCACCAAGGGCTGCACTCTGCTTGGCCAAATCACGGTCTTTCTCCAATACAGTTCCCTGGGCAGACATGTTCTTGAGCAGCCCCTGTCTAAACATTTCAGCCTTTAGGAAGCTGCAAAGACAGAGCAGAACCACCATGTGAAAAGGTTCATAATCAATTTACTTCCCATGCTTTGAGTCATGGCATTGATTTTATGCAGTGCTTGTGGAAGAGCATTCCATGTTATAAAAAACTTGCAATTTATGGTTTGTCTGAGGCCACTGTGTAGAAACTGCAGTAATAAATACTAAAGCACCATAAAAATCCATAATAAAGAGACGGTCCCTGTCCTAAACAGCTTAGAATCCATCTGCGAGATGTGGAACAGTAACAGGTAACTGTAATGGTAAATAAAGGAGTCCAAGGAAACAATGAGCTCATCAAGATAAACACGAGAGAATGATTTTTCAATGTACTCCAGATGATACATTTCATTAATTAAATAGCTTACTAAGAGCAAAATCCCAATACAAATGCCATCAAAGCAGATGCAGAAAAATACAATGGAAAGTAACTCTCTTTTCCATTAATTAGATTGCTTTCCTTCTTGATAAAGGACTGATCAATATTGCATGCTTTTGAGATGTCTTCGCATTATACGGTATTGTGAATTCATTATTCATTTTGACTGTTGTTGCCTGTCTGCATTCAGAGCTACGCACTGATACAGCTCTGGAACCAAGTCTTGAATTTAACTGGGAGATTAGAGACTGCTCTCTCTCAATTAAATAACAAAGGCATTTCATAGCTTTTCAGAAACTACAAAATGCTATTTTCAAAAATGCTATTTTCATAGCTTTTTTAGGCTGTGGAGGCTCTTAAGACTTCCCATACAAACAGAAGAAATCAAGATCACAGTCGGTGGAAACACACAAGTTTTGTGTTTGGGAAGTGCCTCAGAGCGTGCACTAAAACCTCCCAGGGACACCCTCTCTCCTTACACAAAACCTGAGGATGCAGTGTCCACGTTGAAGGAGGTGACTTGAGGAAGGGAAGTCCACCTTCCAGCTGAGTCTGTATTTCAGGGGTGCCCCTGCAGCTACAGCCTCCCTACCCCACCGATGGTGGACCTAAACATGGCTGGATCCACCAGAATAAACTCCGGGAGCACCTTTTTTACGTAAGCCAAATGACATTTCTCTGCCAACCTCCGTAGGCCGGGTACCACAGGATGATTCCCAGCGCTTTGCAAACCTCAGTGGCTAACAACCCCCAAAAGCCGAACCAAAAACTGACCTGATCGATCAAAACTGTCATCGAAGACGACGCGGCAGGTGCGCCCGTTGTTCAGGATGGTTTTCGCTGCCCCGGGATCGTAACTGGTGTGCCAAGGGAGGAGAGAAGTGTCGTGCTGCACGTCTTTGCTGTTGATCTCAATGGGTGACTGCTTGTCTCCCTTGGCCATGGGGTAGTTTTCATGCCAGCGCTCGGGTCCTGGGAGGAAAGGCAAGGACACGTCGCTCCGGCTCATCCCCGGCCGCCCCGGCGGCCCCGCGCCCCC